ATATTTTTTTTGTTTGTTTTAACAGTCAAACACAAAATAAAAATTAAACAAATATCTAATTTCTAATGTTGTATGTGCAGAATAAATAGGTTAACAGGTGGGCGCAATGAGCAAAACATTAAATTAAATTGCATTAAATTGAATGCAAAAGCATTAAATTGCCAATGCAAATAACTGTCTATAAAAAAGTGCATTACGTCTAAATTAACTCATATAAATCAAACATAATTTCGTAAATTGCATAAACAATTATGAACAAAACAGCATCACGTATTTATGCATTGCTTAATCCAAAGAGCCGAATCGCCCATCACACAGATTGCCTTTAAAAACATACGAGACGCAGTGAAAAGGAATAAACCTCCACAAATTCTAAACGTTTAAACTGTTTTAACATTGCATGGCTTTCTAGACTATTGCATTGCGTGGGCTAGACTAACAAAAAATTAAACTACAACGTCACTTACATCACCATCACCGCATCTCGCATGCCACTGATGACGCTCCCTGATGCACACCTAACATTCGATTGTAGCACTTTTGCTACACACAAATGTTTATTTTAAATTCGACGAATATTCATTTTTTTATTCTCAATCTCTTCATCACAGGCAGGCACAGCGCTCATGTTCGTGTTTGTGTGTGCAGTCACTCATATAGCACGTGCCTATATCGTGCGGTATATCGAACATTTTTTATATCGTTATCGATAAACTACAACGTCACTTACATCACCATCACCGCATCTCGCGTGCCACTGATGACGCTCCCTGATGCACACCTAACATTCGATTGTAGCACTTTTGCTACACACAAATGTTTATTTTAAATTCGACGAATATTCATTTTTTTATTCTCAATCTCTTCATCACAGGCAGGCACAGCGCTCATGTTCGTGTTTGTGTGTGCAGTCACTCATATAGCACGTGCCTATATCGTGCGGTATATCGAACATTTTTTATATCGTTATCGAAGAAGGTGTACCGTCGATAAATATCGATACCGTTTTATCGCACAGGCCTAGCTGGAAGAACCTCAGATACTTTCTCCTGAGATACAGACATCTGTTTTCACATCTCACTTTAAAATAGTTTTATTTTAATATCGTTTTCAAATTTGCTATACAATTCAGTTGAGTTTTTATTAGTTTCATTAATATTGTTGTTAGTTTTAGTTTAGTTTTTATTTTGTGAACGCATTTTTATTTAGTTGTTATATAGTTTAGTTTCAGTTTTAGTTTCAGTTTTAATTAAAGTTTAGCAGAATTAACAGATCACTTCCAGAGAGCAGGCCAAAGAAAGACTTAGGCATAAAAGGCAATAAGGCATAATTTAGCCTTAGTGATGCAAATGTCTAGCGACACAAAAATTAACGCATACTGAGATTGATTAAATAGAAAAAGTATACAAATATACGCCAAAATGAATCAGGCAAGCCTTTTTACTAAATAAATCTATACAAGTTGTGCTTAATGTCAT